ACCCCCCCGCCACCCTCCAAAAAACCCTCAGGCTTTGAGGGTGTTAGGGAGTAGGGGCTTTTGGGTTTCAGAGTCCCTGTCAGGTATGAGGGTTGCTCGGCGGCATTGCGTCAAGCTTGTCGGGCTATTCAGGACTTTTTTAGGGGTTTAGGGCGGTGTCCGCAGCAAGAAGAAAATTCCGTGTGGTGCTTTAACAATCACGTTCCGTCTCTCACAAAAACTCATCCCTTCAAAACATCTTCTAAAAACTCGGGACCGTGTAGAGTGACCAATCAGTTTCGACTGTTCTGGAGGGACACAGTAAAGAGGATGGAACATTGCACATGTGTCAAAGGTCTCAGTACTTGAGGGATTTAAGGTGAGTGGGCGTCGGGCTTGCGCCTCGGGGGTTCAGAGTTTAGGATTCAGGGTTTAGGGTTTAGGGTTTAGGGTTTAGGGTTTGGGGTTCAGGGTTTATAATGTGACCACCCTGAGATAAACCCAAGACCTTTAAATGTAGGGGTTTCAAGGCTTTTGGGGTTCTAGGGTTTGGGGGTTTTAGGGTTTAGGGTTTCAGGGCCTCAGACTCCAAAATTGTTAGCACCCCTTGCAGCCCCAGACGCCCTCTATGGTGGTGACCTGGCAGCCTCAGGCGGACGGGCGCAGGGCCCTCAAACTTTTTTGGGGCTTAGGGTTTGGGAGCTCAGGGTTGAAAGCGTAGGGCTTTGGGATGCTTTGGGGAGGGTTTCAGGCTTATATAGGGCTCTGCTTGGGGTGCCTTGGGGTTTGTTGCGGTGACCCAAAAGGCCCAGCCCTTCAGGGCGTGCGAGGGGAAGGCTTTCGAGTTGAAATTCTGCGTTTGGCGCTGCCCTGCTTCTCCGAGAACCAAGGAAGAGAATGGAAAAGGTAAAGCGCCATTCTAGCCGATTCTAGAACCACAAGAGAAGCATTCTAGGGTTCTACCTTGGACCCTTAAGGTTGTAATCTTGGGTTTCGGGGTCCCTTTTTGAGGATCCCCAAGGGACTATAAGGGCCATATTAGGAGTATACTCAGGTGAACCTTTAGGGGTACAATGTTAGGGGTGCGAGCCTGAATCCGTTGAAAGCAAGCCCAAGAAGGTATTTACGAGATCAACTGGCTAATTAAGACTCTATCTCCCAAAGGGCCTCAATCAAGAACCCTGCCCCTGCGCCCCCAAGCCCGAAAACCTCAACCCTAAACCCTAAGCCCTAAACCCTAAACCTTACACCCTACACCCTAAATCCCTAAACCCCAGTTAACCCTAAACCCTACACTCTGGTCCCGAAACGCTCTATCCCCAAAACCCTAAACCCGAAACCCTAGCCAAAGGTTAGTCTGAGGCGTGGGCCGTCCACACTGCACAGGGGTGCCAGACAGGCGTTGACCTCAAATCTTGGGTTGCGGTTTGGGGTTTAGGGTTTAGGGTTTTTTTAGAGTTCAGGGTTTAGGGTTTTTCAGGGTTCGGGGTTTAGGGTTCAGGGTTCAGGGTTTAGGGTTTGGGGTTTCGTGTTTTTTGGGTTGGGGATTTAGGGTTTAGGGTTTAGGGTTTAGGGTTTAGGGTTTAGGGTTTAGGGTTTAGAGTTTTGGGGTTTAGGGCTTCCCGGCCCAGGAGATTGTGATTCTGCGTGGGCGAGGAGCTCAGGACGAAAGAGCCGAAAACCTCGGGGTGGGAAACAAAAACCCTATCGGGCCCAAAATGCAAAACGGGTTTAGGGATTCGGGCTGTTCAGGGTTTAGGGCTTAGGGCTTAGGGTTGAGGATTTGGGACACCCAAGCCAGGGTTTCTTGGGGGTTAGGTTTACTTGGAGGTTCATGGGTACTCATAGCCAAGGTTGTAAGTCCACTTACAACCTACTTAGGGGACTTAGGGGGTCTTATAAGTACAGTTATAATTGGGGTCATAAGTACCCTGAACCTCCAAGTAAACCCGAAACCCTAAACCCTAAACCCTAAACCCTAAACCCTAGACCCTCAAACTGAACCTCCCGTGCAGGCAGGCCGCAGCTCGGTGGATCACCTTCTTCGAGCTATGGTCAAAGTGTGACACGGTCACAGTGCCTGGGTTTAGGGTTTAGGGTTTAGGGTTTAGGGTTTAGGGTTTAGGGTTTAGAGTTTGGGGTTTATAGGTTTAGGGTTTAGGGTTTGGGGTTTGGGGTTTAGGGTTTAGGGTTTAGGTTTAGGGTTTAGGGTTTTGGGTTCAGGGTTTCGGGTCTAGGGTCTAGGGTTTAGGGGGGTTTAGGGGGCCTGTGGTAGGGGATCCGAAGTCTGTGCCCTCAGTTTGGTTCCTTTGCTATATGACCCTTCTATACACCATGTATCATAAGGGCCCATACTTCGGAACCCTACACAGAAGTTTTGGGACCACACACACGGGCCCAGGGTCCCAACCCTAGATGTGGGGGGTTTGAGCAGCTTTCGGGAGGTAGGGCTGTTTAGGGTTTAGGGTTTAGGGTTTAGGGTTTAGGGTTTAGGGTTTAGGGTTTAGGGTTTAGGGTTGAATCTACTCACATTGAAGGGCTTGAAACAATATGTTCCACACCGCAAGAAGACCGCACGCTGCTAGGAGTCCGCAACATGCATAAACCATACTGGTATAATCAAAAAGAAGATCATCATATGATCATACAATCATATCACCATATACCCATATGTCAGAATATAATCATATCATCATATAATCATACAATCATAGAAATAATACAATCATGGCAACAATACAGTCACAGAATCATACAACCATACAATCATATAGTCATATAATCATACAATCACATCATCACATAATCACATAAACACATAATCATATTATCAGATAGTCGTATAAACATACAAGTTACATGTCACCATATGTGTATAAAAAAATATATATATATATATATACACACACCTCACTTCGAACCCCAGCCCTTAACCCTAAACCCTAAACCCTAAGACCCAAAACCCTAAACCCTAAGACCCAAAACCCTAAACCCCAAACCCTAAACCCTAAACCCTGACAGATCGAAAACCCCCCTTTTCCAGCTGCAAGAAAGGGCGCAGGCACCGCAGCCGCCCTCGCCACAGCCCAGCTTGGTCCCTGCGCTTGCAGAGTTGAAGGCCGAAGATTGTAGGGTTTAGAGTTTAGGGTTTAGGGTTTAGGGTTTAGGGTTTACGGTTTAGGGTTTAGGGTTTAGGGTTTAGGGTTTAGGGTTTAGGTTTCCGAACATCCGGGATCCTTCTCTACGGTATAGTGAGCCTAAGCTTTGGGGCAAGAACCGCAAGCCCCTTTCAACATCAACCCCGGAAATGCCCCCTATACACCCTGTACATCCTATACAGCCGATACACCCTTTTCACCCTACACACCCTACTGGAAGCTCTTTTGACTTAGGAAGTCTACTTAGTATCCCTGCAAACCCTACTACAATCCCCACTACTCACCTTACGAACCCTACTTACGAAGTCAAAACCCTAACCCTAAAACCCTAAACCCTAAACCGAAAAAGCCCTTACTTTGGGAGGAACCCCTTTTCTTTTCTCCAAATCGGCGTTCGACTGAGCTGCGGTCAATCATCTGCTTGCCCTGGTGACAATGTAGCTTCCCACCATTGAGTTGCAAAGAAAGAGACTTTGACCAAAATCTTATTCCGTAAAATAGTAGGATTCTTCTGATTTTGCGAAACCCCTCTACAATCCCAAACCCCATAAATGACGGAAACATGAATCCCCAAAACCCCACCCTCAGTGCCTAAATCCTAGCTTTAACGGAGGCACGCTTTGTGAGCGCGTCTGCAAACCTTCCCACCCCAAGACCGCCCACTTACAACTCTTGCGGAGGCTTTGCATATTTTTCCAATGTACCTTAACCCTAAACCCTAAACCCAAAACCCTAAACCCTAAACTCTGATGCAAGGTGATATGGCGAAAACCATTTGATGGCAAGTTGTGGGAGCGGCGTTTGTGCATGCTGGCTTGTAGCGGCGTTTCCGCGCGCAGTCGGTTAACTTCCAGCCTGTGCTTCTTGGATCTGCCGCGCATGCCTGCTCAAACCTGAAGATTCAGATCCGATCCGTGAGAGGCGTTGGACACTTGGGGTCATTTGGGTCATGTGGGCCACTTGGGAAGCTAGGGTCACTTGGAACACCTGGGTCACTTAGGACACTGGATACAAGGCACTTGACACTTGGGACACTTGTGTCGCTTGGGTCGTTTGGAGCACTTAGGGAGGCCTGGAACACTCGGGTCATTTTGGGACAGTAGGAGCACATCCACTTTGGGCCCACTTGAAACACTTGGAACGCTTCATTCACTTGGGTTACTTGGGTCACTGCGGACACTTCATTCACTCGGTCACTTGGGGCACTTGGCCTGAAGGCCGGCGAGCCGCGACCAGGGCCCGTTTGCCCACTCACTGTAAAGTGAGTGGGGTGGTGGGCAGGGTTAACCCTAAACCCCCGAAACCCCCGAAACCCCCTAAACCCGCTAAACCCTAAACCCTAAACCCTAGAAACCCTGGACCCTATAAACGCTGGCCCCCAAAACGCCCCATAAACCCCAGACAGGGCAAGCGCGAGTCAGGAGCTCTGAATGGAAAGTCCAAGAGACGCAAAAGCGCGTCGACTGCACCGCTTAAGGACTTCGGTCATCGGGTTTAGTGTTTAGGGTTTAGGGTTTAGGGTTTAGGGTTTAGGGTACAGTGTGGAGGGGTCCGAATTAACCCAAGAGCCGACGATCCTCGGATATTCCGATGACCTTCGGGGATTCTTGGGATTTTGCACTCTGGAACAGTCGCGAGATCTTTGCGAAAACAGCGCGTGCTGGGCGTGCTGGGCACCGCGAGGCAGTGCTCGTTGGGTTTAGGGATTTGGGCGCTCCAGGGTTTAGCTCCAGAGTTTAGGGTTCGGGTTTTGGCTGATCTTGGGACGACAGCATGGAAGTCGCAGAGCCTGCACGCCGCTTGAAAACAGGCTAGACACCTCAGAATAGACACCTGGCTTCGCATGGCCACCCAGATGTTGAATTAGACTCGCTCCTCGATAAGCGGATCGCCATCTATAGAGCCGTCATCATCATCCTCCTCTTCTTCAGCATCAGCAATGGCATCCTTTGCAAGCATCACACGCACCACCGTCTCACAGGCCGCCTGCTGGCCCAGAAGGGCCTTCACCAGGAACTCTGGCGCGGACATCGATTCTGCAAGACCCAGCGCCTGTACTCCCCTTAGAACCTAAATTAAAAACAACATTTTTCATATCCTCTTGGGTTATATATAAAAAAATTTAAAAAAAAAAAAAAAAAAAAAAAAAACATTTTAAAACAAAATCCCAAGGGGGTATAGGTGCAGAGAACCCACTGGAGTCGCGCAGATCCAACTGTGCCCTCGAAACAATCAGGGCCGCAGCGGCATCATACTGCCTTGCTGGCCCAGCAAGGTCTTCTATAACGTCGTTTCAGGGACCCTAAACCCTAAACCCTAAACCCTAAACCCTAAGATCTCCTTTAAAAGGTTCCATGTGCTCCCAACAAAGCAAACTCGGGAGAATATTCTTTAAAAGAATCAGGGATATCGGGTGGAGCCTTAAACCTCAACTCAACCTTCCTGGCCTTAATAGACCCCAGAAGGCCTTAGTAAAGAAATACTTGGTAGCCCGGTAGCCTCATCATAAAAAGGGCACCCTTCTTCTGGGTTGGTTACTTTATCAGGGCACCCTAAACCCTAAACCCTAGACCCTAAATATGGTACCACTGGGCTGCGAAGAATACGGGCCCAATTTACAGAGTCGCTCCTGGTGCCTTCTGACCCGTGGCAGTCCAAACTTGGGACGTTCCCCCTGATACTGACAGCCCTTAACAGGGATTATAATAACCCCCTATTCTAACCCCTAGTAAGGACTCGGTCCTTTAACCGGGATTCTAGTAGCCCCCCTCCTATTATCCTATTAAGGCTTAAGGACTGCTAATCTGAGCGGGAACATCCCAAGTCAAAGTCAACCCTAAACCCTAAACCCTAAACCCTAAACCATCCTTTTGGCAGCCATGCTGCCCTGTCATAATGGCCGAAAGTAGCGCCGTGCGTCCTTCTACGCCATACGCTGCTCTGGCCAAGGGCGTGGGGCTTCCAAATCTGTATTGAAGCGATTTCAAGAGGAAAAGGAATCCTGGGATTCGGCTGGTGCGGGTTTGGGGTTTAGGGTTTAGGGTTTAGGGTTTGGGGTTTAGGGTTTGGGGTTTGGGGTTTGGGGTTTGGGGTTCGGGGTTTAGGGTTTAGGGTTTAGGGTTCAGGGTTTGGGGTTTAGGGTTTGGGGTTTGGGGTTTGGGGTTTGGGGTTTGGGGTTTAGAAAGTTTAGGGTTCAGGGCTTCGGGTGTTGAGTATGACAGTCTAGGTCCCAGAGAAAGGAATTCAAAGGGTGCCCGCGGTTTCTCAGGAAAGTTCACCTTACCGAAAATGGACTAAGGGCCCCCGCGAGTGACAAAAGCACAGAAAACAAACCAAGCAAGAAAAAAAAAACATAGAAACCACGAGAGTCCCAGAGGAGTGGACAGTGACGTGGAGCTGGGTTCGTTGACATCTGCCCTCATCCTCAGTTGTCCAGTAACCTGGGGGAGTTAAAGGTTAACCGTTGGGATTATAAGGGGATTGCATTACCCCAAAACGGTTAAAAAGGTTACCTACTCTACTACTAGGTATATATAGATAGATAGATAGATAGATAGATAGATAGATAAATAGATAGATAGATAGATAGGATTATACTACCCCAAAAAAGGTGAAAAAAAGGTTACCTACTCTACTACTAGGCATAGATAGACAGATAGATAAAGAATATATTGCCCCAAAAAAGGTGAAAAAAAGGTTACCTTACCCTACAGCTAGGCATCGAGATGAGCTGTTGGACCATCGGTGCAGTGCCCCCGCGGAAGATCATGGCGTACACGAGGCACTCCTGGCAGCGAAGGGGCACCGAAATCCCGAAAACCCTAAACCCCAAACCCTAAACCCTAAACCCTAAACCCTAAACCCTAAACCCTAAACCCTAAACCCTAAACCCTAAACCCTAAACCCTAAGCCCTATCCCTAAACCCTAAACCCTAAACCCTAAACCCTAAATCCTAAACCCTAAACCCTAAACCCTAAACCCTAAACCCTAAACCCTAAACCCTAAACCCTAAACCCTAAACCCTAAACCCTACTCTACGTAAGCCCTTGCACATTCATGCTCTCCCTTACTGGGGGGAAATTGGTTTCTAAATTTCTTTCAGAGGGGTCTAAGGCCATTTCGGTGATTCTTGAGAGGGCGAAACCCAGGGGCCAAAGATACTGTGTGCGCACTCAGGCATGCTTTTGGGGGGCAATTCCAGCATTGGTTTAGGGCTTTTGTTTTAGGGTTTAGGGTTTAGGGTTCAGGGTTTAGGGTTTAGGGTCTAGGGTTTAGGGTTTAGGGTTTAGGGTTACCTGAAACCCGGCAAACTCTAATCTAAACACAACAGAGTCCCTAGCACCCTCAACCCTAAAGGCTCTTGGGGCCTGATGATAGAGCCCCTTTGCCTCCGAAGTCTACATATTCGCACTCTCATGCGCCTGTACTTATGTAGGGAGCATGTGTAATACCCTAAACGCTATAAACCCTAAGCCCTAAACCCTAAACCCTAAACCCAAAACCCTAAACCCTAAACCCTAAACAGTGCGGGGCAAAATGTCAGGAATCGACAACGTCTGAAGGCGCGCATGGCGCTCACAAGACTTGCTGTCAATGAGTTAGCAAGCAACACACAACAAACCCTAAACCCTAAACCCTAAAACCCTATATATATATATACATATGTACATACTTCTTTATATCATCGTGCTCCCACCTGACAAACAGACATGGCGGTTCCTTCTCAAAAGCAAAACAACATCACCCCAAGCAACGAAACAACAAAACATCCTCGACCGATCATGGATTAGCAGGTGCGTCTTCCTAAGCCCGAAACCCTAAACCCCAATCCCTAAACCCTAAACCCTAAACCCTAAACCCTAAACCCTAAACCCTAAACCCTAAACCCTGAACCCTGAACCCTGAACCCTGCAAACCGTAAGCCTCAATCGAGTCAAGGGTCCTTCAGGTAAACGGCATCAAGGGCCCGCAGCTCTTCAATGACGGCTCTGGCGCCGAACCTTGTAAGGCTCAGGGTTTACCGTGTAGGGGCTTCTCTGAGGGTTTAGGCTGTAGGGTTTAGGGCACATAGGTCTGGGGTTCAGGGGTTGAATGGTTTGCTGCCAGGGCTTCGGGGTTCAGGGTTCGGGCTCAACGTGGTTTAGTTCGGGGATTAGTATTAAGGGATTTACTTGAACCTTTAGGGTTTAGGATTTAGGGCTTAGGGTTTTAGGGGTTCAGGGTTTAGGGTTTAGAGCCCAAGCCTTAAACCTCTAAACCCTTTTGCATCGCCCTTGAACCGTTAGGGTTTAGGGTTTAGGGTTTAGGGTTTAGGGTTTAGGGTTTAGGGTTTAGGGTTTAGGGTTTAGGGTTTAGGGTTTAGGGTTTAGGGTTTATGTTTTAGGGTTTAGGGTTTAGGGTTTAGGGTTTAGGGTTTAGGGTTTAGGGTTTAGGGTTTAGGGTTTAGGGTTTAGGGTTTAGAGTTTAGGGTTTAGGGTTTAGGGTTTAGGGTTTAGGGTTTAGGGTTTAGGGTTTAGGGTTTAGGGTTTAGGGCCAGCACCTTGGGGGTTCAGGGGTTTCGAGTTTCCTTGCCATCCCCTAGCCCAAGGCCCTAAACCCTAAACCCTAAACCCTAAACCCTAGACCCTAGACCCTAGACCCTAAACCCTAAACCCTAAACCCCAGGTTCCCCGCTTAGATAACCCCAATTAGACTTATTTTCTCCCTTAAACCGCCTTAATTTTTAAGGAACCGGGCGGAATGTCGCATCCTTCAAGCCTAGAAATATTTCAACATGGGTCTTCGGCCGTGCCCCTTAAAAGACACTAAGGGGCTTCCTCAGAGTATCCTTTTTTGGAGGTCAAGGGGTATGGGTTTGGGGTATGTTGAACTACTCATGTTCGCCTCCGCTACCTGCCGAGAAGCGTTTGGAACAAGCAGACATTTTTGTGACGCACCACCGCACCCTGTGGGACCCCCCCCCCCCCCATCGCTTGGAGGAGCTGCAAACCGATGCCGTGGGCGGAATCCCGCCTGTCGGTGGCTCCTAGAGAGGGGGCGCTTCAAAATGGCTGTTTTGGGACTTTGTTCCTCTGACCCGACCCCCAGCACCTGCCCCGGGACCCTGGGACCCTTCCCTGAAACCCTCCCCTTTTTTGAGGCCCTCTTTCCTCCTTTCCTGTGGGAAGGCCCGGCTGCCTTAAAACGGCGTGCGCAAGCGTTTTCAAGTATCCTTTTGGAGGTTAAGGGGTATGGGTTTGGGGTATGTTGAACTACTCTCCCTAAACCCAAAACCCTAAACCCTAAACCCGGGGCATGTTGGCTTGTTCTTAACAGTTTAGCACTTCGAGCGGGCTTAGGGTCTCGGGTTTAGGAGTTCGGCTGCTCAGGTGGGTTTAGAGCTTAGGGGTTCAAGGCTTTGAGCTCTCAACCCTAAACACTAAGCCCAAAACCCTAAACCCTATACTCTAAACCCTAAACCCTAAACCCGAAACCCTAAAACTCAAGCCTTGAAGCATGCAGGCAATCGTGAACGGGTAGACAGCGCCCAAGAAGGATTGGCGTGGGTTGGCGCCGGCCTCAAGGCGTTGGGGATTCGCGGGTTTGGGTTACAGGAGCAGGGCTCCTTGCCCTAACCCTAAACCCTACACCCTTAGAAATTAGGGTTTAGGGTTCAAGGGGGCTATGCCCGAAACCCACAGAAGAGCCCCCGCTTCCTCCGCTAGGGTTTAGGGCGTATAGGGTTGAGGATTTAGGGGTCAGGGGCTTTAGGGTAGCCAAACTCCTCCCCTGCCTGGCACACGAGCCGAAGGCCCTCCGCATTGTCCGAAATGGCAGCAGCGTGGGCCGGGAAGCCTTCACAAACGCTTCAGGGCGTTTAGGGTTTACGGTTTAGGGTTTAGGGTTTGGGACCCTAAGCCCTGGGGTAGCTGCACTTCTAGAGAGGGCCTGATAGAGTATCCGCTTTCGAGTGGGCGTTGGACTTTTCGAACGCTTGGCAGCAAGGACGCTGGCTTTTCTTAAGCTGAGTACCCAGAGTGTATGCTTTCGGGTTTAGGGTTTAGGGTTTAGGGTTTAGGGTTTAGGGTTTCCACTCCTGAGCCCCAAACCCTGAACCCCGCAACCCGGCCAACCCCGCCCTGGCCTCCGAAAGCGTCGTCCACCCTGGCCCGGCCCGCAATCAACCTGGGAGGCGCGCTTTAAGGGGGTTTTGGGGTTTAGGGTTTAGGGTTTAGGGTTCAGGGTTTAGGGGTTTACGGAGTGAGGGTTTAGGGTTTAAGGTTTGGGGTTGGGGTTTAGGGTTTGGCTTGAAAACAGCACCCAGAAGAATGTGCCTCGACGCGTCGTCGAGTCACTACCATCACTACCATCGCAAGCTCCCAACTCTGGGAAAGCCCACGAAGCGAAGAAAGGAAACCAACTGCAAGCCGAGGGAACCCAACCTAAACCCTCACCCCCTAAACCCCAAACCCTAAACCCCAAAACCCTAAACCTAAACCCTCACCCCCTAAACTCCAGACCCTAGACCCTAAACCCTCGCCCCCCAAACCCCCTAAACCCTACACCCCCACCCCAACTGCATCCCAGCGGCTGACGCACGGCACCGTTGTGCTTGTAGAAGAGGCACACGTTCAGCGCCGAATCACCGCGGCGAAAGCCGGTGATGCGATTCGTCTTCCTCTGCGCTTAGGGCCGGGAGGGGAAGGCGGGGACGGAGGGGAGTGGAGGGGAAAGTATTGAACAGAATCTGCATCACAAGACTGATGTGTTATTCTGGTAGCGCGCGGTTTGTTTTGGGATTTCCTGTGCCTTAATTAATGTGTTGGATGTGCGATTTTCTCACATTCAGTTGTCGTGTTGGAGATATGTAGCCGTTTCTGAGCAAAAGTTGACCCGGCTCAAGAAAAGCAGGGGAGGTTGGGAGCACAACACCCCCTCTCCCACCCCCCCATTTTATTTGTGTATGTCTTCGTATTTATTCAAATCGTTCTGTGTTTCTGTGTTGTTGTTTATTGTGCAGTTTCGGTGATTATTTATTTCCCTCGTTCTGTCCTGCTTTATGTAGCCGCCGTCTTTACCCGTTCTGTTGCATCTCGTTCTGTGTTTCGTACTCGGCTGTGTCGTTACTTCGGTCTTTCTGCATATATCTATGCCTTTTCTCGGTTCTTTATTTAGTTACGTCTTTCGTTTCTGTTTCGTTTCTTCTCAGTGAACGAAACGTTTCTTCATTTGGTTGATTATCTTTCTGAATTTCTGTCTTGTACTTATGTCGCTCTTTCTTTTTGCATTCCTTTCTTTATTGATGTATTACTCTTATTACTCTTTCGTGTTTATTGACCCTATCTCTTTCTTTTGTCTGTCTTTATTTCTTTATTTCTTGCCTTCTCTCTTTCTTGCGTTGCTTCTTTCTTCATGTCTTTCCAGCCTTTCCCTTAGTAAATCAGTCTCTTCACTCTCCACCCAAGAAACATGACGAAAACAACAGGGGAAACAAAGGTAAAAAATTTCAGCCATTCCCTGCTCGCACCACGACCCACAACCCACATTGGGAGCATAAAAGGGGTTAACCCTAAACCCAAAACCCTAAACCCTAAACCCTAAACCCTAAACCCTAAACCCTGTTTTGGGAAATACCCAACTCAGGACACATCCTTCCTTGGGACCCTCCCCACCTGGTTTTGGCGTTGGGATCCGCCCGCTGTGCCAACAGCCCTTCGATCAGCACCTAGGCTGGCCCTGAAGACCCTCTGAAAATGTTGCTTAAACTTTTTTTGTGGTTTAGGGTTTAGGGTTTAGGGTCTAGGGAAATGTAAAAGGTCCCCAAGGGCCTACCTAGGCTCTGCATCCCCGCGGATGGCAGCGTAGTGCAGCGGCGACCAGCCCACGCTGTCCACTTCGCGGACACTCGTGAAGCCGTTTTGGTGGAAGAACCGCGGCACCACGCTCCTATACTCCCCTTAGAACCTTAATAAGAATGATACGCTCCTATACTCCCCTTAGGACCTTTAAACAAATCTTAATATCCTCTTGGGGTTTTACGTGAAACAAAAAACAAAAGGAATTCTTAAGGGGGATAGAGGCTCGAGGCTTCGGACTCGCTGCTCTCTGAGCCTACATAGCCGGGAACGAGCTCAATCTCCCTGTGGGCTGGAAACCCCCTCATGTGAACTGCCTGGGGGGTTTAGGGTTTAGGGTTTAGGGTTTAGGGTTTAGGGTTTAGGGTTTAGGGTTTAGGGTTCAGCAGCTCCGGGTCGAGCAATCTCCAGTAGAGCCGCTGTTTGGGCTCTCGAAAAAAATCCACCCACCCAGAGAATCCCAAAACATTAAGAAATAAAAAAGTTCACATTTTTCATCAGCAAGCCCTGTCCTCCAACCTCACTCTGTCATGGACCATCCTACCCACGAACCATTTCATCCAAAAAAAGGGGGGGGAGGGGGGGGAGGGCCGGGGAGGGGGGGGGGCGGGGGACGGGGGAAGGGGGGGGGGGGAAAAGGGGGGGAAGGGGAAATGACCCTTAGCCACGAAGGAAATGACCCTTAGCCACGAAGGAAATGACCCTTAGCCACGAAGAAATGACCCTTAGCCACGAAGAAATGACCCTTAGCCACGAAGAAATGACCCTTAGCCACGAAGAAATGACCCTTAGCCACGAAGAAAGGACCCTTAGCCACCAAAATATGACCCTTAGCCACAAAAAAATGACCCTTAGCCACGAAGGACATGACAGGAAATGGCTCTTAGCGACCAGGAAATGGCCCTTACCGACGAAGAAATGGCCTTTAGCGAAGAAATTGCCCTTAGCCACGAAGAAATGACCCTTAGCCACGAAGAAATGACCCTTAGCCACGAAGAAATGACCCTTAGCCACGAAGAAATGACCCTCAGCCACGAAGGTGTATAGGGTTTAAATATATATATATATATATATATATGTATAAGAAAGAGGGGTTTAGGGTTTAGGGGTACGAAGATGAGGACCCCTGATATAGACCCCCTCATAGTAGGATTCCCTTATGACAAGGACCCCAGCAAGGCACCCCTAATTTCGGAAACCCCAAACCCTAAACCCTAAACCCTGAACCCTAAACCCATGGGCCTGAAGATTGAGCAACGCACGATAGCCCGCGACGTCATGGGCCGTGAGCTTCGCCACCAGCGTCTCCTCGAGCGCACGAAGGAGAACTCCCGCCAGCGTCCGGTGATCCTCCACGGAGTCGGCGCGTTTGGGGTTTAGGGTTTAGGGGGGGTTTAGGGTTGAGGGTTGAGGGTTGAGGGTTGAGGGTTGAGGGTTGAGGGTTGAGGGTTGAGGGTTGAGGGTTGAGGGTTTAGGGTTTAGGGTTTAGGGGTTGGGGTTTGGGGTTTAGGGTTTATAAGGTTCTTGGGCGTCGCCATAGAGGCGCGCTTTTGGCCCGCGCGGGTTTATCGGATTGACCCCTATGCCGTGGAAGGAAGGTTCTTGGGCTGTTTATACAACTCACCCCTAAGTTGCGTACACCCCCGAAAGGCGGCCAGGCGAGTCCTCCATGAGCGTGAACTGGCCTTCGCCCGGTGGTCCCCCTAAACTTGTGGCAGGATCGACGACCAGATCCTATACAGAACTGGGTTTAGGGTTTGGGGTTTAGGGTTTAGGGTTTAGAGCTAGGGTTTAGGGTTCGGGGTTTAGGGTTTAGGGTTTAGGGTTTAGGGTTTAGGGTTTAGGGTTTAGGGTTTCGGGTTGAGGGTAAAATTATTCCCAAGTATCCCCAAGGATCAATCTCCCGAGCGCCCCGGATGATCATCCAGGTCGGATTCAGAGAAAGCTCTCGACAGGCCTTCTCGATGCGGCACCAGCCCCTTTCCTTTTCTGTCTTTTGTTCTTTGGATTAGGGTTTTGGGTTTTGGGTTTTGGGTTTTGGGTTTAGGGTTTAGGGTTTAGGGTTTAGGGTTTAGGGTTTAGGGTTTAGGGTTTAGGGTTTAGGGTTTAGGGTTTAGGGTTTAGGGTTTAGGGTTTAGGGTTTAGGGTTTAGGGTTTAGGGTTTAGGGTTTAGGGTGCGGAGTTCGGTGCGCTGCATCGGTTGCGGGTTATAGGGTGGTAGGCGGTTAAGAACTGTCGGTCTTCTGTCTTGTTTGTTGAAGGTACACGCACGAAAGGATGAGCTTCATCTGTACTAGGGTTTTAGGGTTTAGGGTTTAGGGTTTGGGGTTTGGGGTTTAGGGTTTAGGGTTTAGGGTTTAGGGGTTTAGGGTTTAGGGTTTAGGGTTCAGGGTTCAGGGTTTCGGGCTCTGGAGACATGAGTTGGAGAACAAAGAACAGGATGCTGGCTAGGTAAGCTTCGGCCCAGGTATACTGCGTGAACACCTGCTCGCTTGCGTTCAAAATCACAGGGCAGAGGCCGAAGAAGAAGGCGCACCGGGCGACATACGCCGGGATGCTGTGTATGGCGTGCATCTGCTGGGGCTTGTGGTCTTCCCGCTGCGGGCACGAGAAATAGTCGTACCAGATGAAAAGCGGCGCAGACTTCAGCTCCGCTGTCGGCAAACCTTTCGTGCTTGACAGCGCGATCTCCGAGACAATGCTTGGATAGACGACCTCCGCCTTGTACAACAAGTGTCTCAAAGCATCCTGCAACACCTAGGTCCACAGATATTCTGTGCTAGAGGCTCGATGCCTTTTTTGCAAGGACAACCTAGTCACACAAGACATATGCGTTTGCTGGGGTATCACCTTTCCCGCAGTATGCCCACATGTACACATGCCTGTGTCAAGGAAAGCCGCTCTCATCTGATCATAGTTCGGGTCAGGATGGCCCGCGCCCACCCACTGGTGTGACACAAACGCAGCATTCCCCAGGCTCGCGTCGAATTCCACCAGCAGTCCTCTTTGCGCTTGACCACCCCAAACCCTAAACCCTAAACTGTTGGGACTTGGGTCGAGGGTCCGAAACTTTCTGTGGCGCTGGGATGCCAAGATGTCTTGTGAATGGTGGATTCTGCACAAGCCACCAAGCCCGCACTGCACGACTACTGGGGCCCCCGAATCATTACAAAAAAAACTCAGGGGGGTGCTTATCGTAGAATTATACAGGGGACCATCCAGGAATGATCAGTGAAACTATTCCAAGCCCTTTGTGCGGGTTACAAATTTCAGGGGCCCCGAAAATAGTAGGAGCCCTTATAATGAGGACCCCAATAAGGTACCCGCAAGATCGGAAACCCCTATACAGGGGCCCCTAAACCCTAAACCCTAAACCCCAAACCCGAAACCCTAAACCCTAAACTGGGAAACGATGGCCTCGGTCCATGAGCTCTTCGTGCGGACAGACCTCGACCATCTTCAGCAGAATCTCGACAGGCACCACGTACATTGGGAAAGACGGGGACTGCACCACAATGCCTTTCCCATCATGGCCTGTCAAGGGTTTAGGGTTTAGGGTTTAGGGCTTAGGGTTTTGGGTTTAGGGTTTAGGGTTTGGGGTTTGGGCTTTGGGGTTTAGGGTTTAGGGTTTAGGGTTTAGGGTTTAGCGTGGCGCATGGCACAAAATTCGACAGCCTTTGACTCGGAGGTCCAAGCTCCTTTGCCCGCCCGTTTCTGCCCAGCGTTTAGGGTTTGGGGCTTAGGGGTTTAGGGGTTTAGGGGTTTAGGGTTTAGGGTTTAGGGGTTTAGGGGTTTAGGGGTTTAGGGGTTTAAGGGTTAGGGGGTTAGGGGTTTAAGGGTTTAGGGTTTAGGGGTTTAGGGGTTTAGGGGTTTAGGGGTTTAGGGGTTTAGGGGTTTAGGGGTTTAGGGGTTTAGGGGTTTAGGGGGGTTAGGGGTTTAGGGGGGTTAGGGGTTTAGGGGTTTAGGGGTTTAGGGGTTTAGGGGTTTAGGGGTTTAGGGGTTTAGGGGTTTAGGGGTTTAGGGGTTTAGGGGTTTAGGGTTTGTGGCTTAGGGTTTAAGTGTCGAATTCACCCCATTTTAAGATATGATGGACGTTTGAGACACTCCATGCACCAGTGCATCCTTTGGCCAGTGCACTATGTCTGAACGATGATAACGTCCATGCTACCTGTGAATCCGAACTGCAAGTCCTGTGACACATCTATACTCTCAGAATTTGGGTGCCCTAAAGCAACGCTTCTCATATCATAACGCAGAAACATTGAGGCTTTAGCAAGAAAAAGAACAGCCCGTCTAAAGATGGGAAACCCCGTAAAACACGATTCCCGCAACCCAGGGCCTCGAGTTTTTTTCGCTGTTTTCTTAACGAAAAGAGAGCCTGCCAACGACGGTCTAAAGATGGGAAACCCTGAAAACACGATTCCCGCAACGCAGACACCTCGAGTTGTTTGCTGTTTGTTGCAAAAAAATCGAGACCCTGCCAACGACGATCTTCTCATGCTGCAAGAACAGCATTTCGCATCGCTAGCACCATGCTCTTCCCACCTATAACCGGGGCACCCCTGGCATGGATCCTCAACGGAGCGGCCAATACATGAAGAACCACCAGCAAAGTTTCAGGGGTTAGGGTTTAAGGTTCAGGGGGTTCAGGGTTTAGGGTTTAGGGTTTAGGGTTTAGGGTTTAGGGTTTAGGGTTTAGGGTTTAGGGTTTAGGGTTTAGGGTTTAGGGTTTAGGGTTTAGGGCTTAGGGTTTAGGGTTTAGGGTTTAGGGCTCCTAACCTAAACCTCGTGTTCCCGAATTACTCTACAATACACCGCACTTTGGTCAAGACCCACCTTCGTCCTTGCGCTCCCGCAAGAAGTTGGCATACTCTTCCAGGGATGTTGATGCCGGTGGTCGTTCCCCACGGCAAAACCACGGCATGATTTTTTATGCACAGGGCTGGCCAGGTAAACACACCGTCGCGAGTCGCGACTTTCAGAGTGCAGTGTGGAGCCAAGACACTGACGTCTGTGCAGATCCCAAAGTTTTTTGGGCTCCCTTCTTGCGGTACCTCATCCCGGGAACCTCAAAACACTGTGCTTGAGATTCTCCCCCCCTTGTACTAACAGCCCTTAAGAGTCTTAAGAGGGATTACAGTACTAGCAGCCCTTAAGAGGGATTATAGAGTACCCTATCATAACAGGGACTACCGTCTATCATAATCTACTCACTATCATAATCGGACTTTTAGTAAAAAGGGGGAGCATCCCAACGCTCAACGCAAACCCTAGTCCGGCCTTGCAGATCCCAGGTTTGGGCGATTAGGGTTTAGGGTTTAGGGTTTAGGGCTTAGGGATATACAAGTGTGATGTTAGTTGGAGCTATACATGGGTGTCATCTAAACTAGGGGTTCCCCTTCTGAAACCCCAAAGTGGTATGGTCCTGATTGAAGGAACCCCCAAAATAGGTCCCCCTCCCCCAAAAAAAAAGTAACAGCAACACCCAAATACAAGCAGCTGAACTTGAAAAGCAATAAAGCCACGGATACCTTGTGGCATACGCATATGGGGGCTTACGATCATCAGGGAGCCCTATATAGACCCCCAAATAGTAGGATCCCCTTATAGTATAGTACAGACGCAAGAAGGAACCCCTACCATCGTAAACCCCCATATACTCCCTAAACCCTAAACCCTAACCCTATACCCTATAACCCTAAACCCTAAACCCTATAACCCATACTCTGTCGGTGGGCACTGCGGGAATCAGGACGAGGAACTCCAGGATCAAGCAGGCCCAGGCCGGGAGTTCAGGAGGCAACCCCCACAGGGACAAACGACAAAAACAACCCTAAACCCTAAACCCTGTAAGCCCTCAATCCTCAACGCTAAACCCACAAGAAAAACAAAATGCAGGACTATCTTGAGGGTGCGGGCACTGCAGAGAAACTCTGCAGGATTCTCTGGGGTTGGCAGTTGTCTATAGGTCAACAACTGGGAGTTTAAGGGTTTACAAGAATAGGGGACCCCTAACATAGACCCCACATAGCAGGATCCCCTTATGATGCGGACCCCAAATATGGCACCCCCTTAACATCGTAAGCCCCCATTTAAGGTACCCTAAATCCCAAAAAATAAACCCCAAACCCTAAACCCCAAACCCCCCTTGCTTAGGCTTTGAGGGCCCTGGTGAGCGACATGCCTGTCAACCCAAGGCGATCGCGGAGGAACCACAGCAGGGTGTGGTGCCTTGGGTGTAAAGGCTTAGGGTTTGGGGGTTTAGGTGTTTGGGGTTTAGGGGTTTAGAGGTTTAGGGTTTAGGGTTTAGGATTTAGGGTTTAAGGTTCGGAGCCTAGCAGGGCGGGGTTAGTTCTGATGACTTAACTCAGGTGGGGCTTTACGATATTAGGGATACCTTTTTTGGGGTCCTAAGGGAATCCTAATTTTTGGGGTTGATATTGGGGGTCCCCTATTTTCGTAAACCCCCAACTAAGTTTCCTTCACGCCAACCGAGTATGAGGCTACGAGTGGCAATGGAGGTGGGGCGCCCATCCCTTTGTACCCAGGCTTTGCAGACCCTGAATCCTAAACCCTAAACCCTAAACCCTAAACCCTAAACCCTAAACCCTAAACCCTAAACCTCAACAAAAGCAGCCTTCGATACCATATGAACCCTCGGGGCTGAGGCTTTGGAAACTCGAGAACTCTAAGCCCTCAGACCCCACAAGCCCCCACCCCTGAACCCCAGGGTTTAGGGTTTAGGGTTTAGGGTTTAGGGTTTAGGGTGTAGGGTGTAGGGTGTAGGGTGTAGGGTGTACGGTTAGGGTTTAGGGTTTAGGGTCTAGGGTTTGGGGTTTAAGTTTAGGGTTTAGGGTGTAGGGTTTAAGGTTTAGGGTTTAGGCTTTAGGGTTTAGGGGTGAAAGATTGTCCTATATACCCTAAGAAGACATGTATCCTCAGTCATAATCATCATAGTCATGCGATACGATCACAACAAGATGAAGAACAAAAAATGATAACATTCAGAAGATAGTAAAGATAATCAGTGTGACAAGGGAATTTGGGGTGATATGAAATATAAGAATCTTGAGAATGACAGAACTAGTTGGAGTAAAAGGAATAGAAACACAGCAGCTACGATGCTGTTAATACAAGTCCATAGGGACCACAAGGGAAGACTAGCAGCCAGAATTCCGACCCTACATTATGGAGTTCTTAAAGGGGAGGGTTCAGGGGGTATGTATATAACCCAAGGTTTCCCAATACTCCCCTGTTCATTAGGTACCTACGCCCCATGAACCCCTCTCCCTCAAGAACCCTGTAACTATAGCATGGTTTCCTAGGGTTCAGGCTTTCCAGTCCAAGTCCGCGACGCAATACCCCCAACGAGCGCACGTGTCCAGCGTTTAGGGCTTTAGGGGGGCTTCAGGTTTACCGCTGGGTGTGGCACGGCTCGGCATCGTCCACGGACGTCAAGCGCCCGTTCCTGGTAGAGTTGAGGGGTGGCTTGTTGGGGGTTTCGGGTTTAGGGTTTAGGAGTACGGCTTTAGGGTTTAGGGTTTAGGGTTTAGGGTTTAGGGTTTTAAACCCTAAAACCCTAAACCTTACACCCCAAACCCCAAGCCCCAAACCCCAAACCCCAAACCCCAAACCCCAAGCCCCAAGCCCCAAACCCTAAACCCAAAACCCAAAACCCTAGCCTAAAAGCCGAAAGTCTAAATCCCAAAAGCACTCGAGGGTTTTGGGGTTTTTATGGTTCTCTACTTGGAGGTTCAGGGCACTGACAGAGTAACTCAATTCTAACTGTACTTGGGTACTTAAGGGGCGTATAAGTGGGTCAGAAGTACAGTTCTTCTTGGTTACTAAGTACCATCCCTAAACCCTACCCTAAACCCTAAACCCTAAACCCTAAACCCACATGAACCTCCAAGTGCGGTTCTCTACTCCGCCAAGGGGCACGTAGAAGGAGAGCCGGGTCTTCCAGGAGACCCCATCTACCTGGCAGCGAAGGTGAGGGTTTAGGGTTTAGGGTTTAGGGTTCAGGGTTCAGGGTTTAGGGTTTAGGGTTTAGGGTTTAGGGTTTAGGGTTTAGGGTTTAGGGTTTAGGGTTTAGGGTTTAGTTCCAGGATTAAGCTTAGCGTATCAGAGGACCCTTGTATCAAGGCTTTGGGTTTACTGGCCTTCTTGGGCGTTCTCAAACTTAAACCCTAAACCCTAAACCCTAAACCCTAAACCCTAAACCCTAAACCCGAAACCCCGAAGTCTTCAGACCTCGGGCCTTTTAAAGGTTCAAGGCCTGGGCTTAAGACCTCCAAGAGCCCCCTGAAGAGTTCGTAGGGCTCTGGGGTTTAGGGTTTAGGGTTTAGGGTTTAGGGTTTAGGGTTTAGGGTTTAGGGTTTAGGGTTCAGGGTTTAGGGTCTAGGATGTAGGGCTTACGGTCTTGGATTTAGGGTTGAGGAGTTGGGGTTTAGGATTTGGGGCTTAGGGTCTCAGATTGAGGGCTCCCCCTGGACACTTGAGAAGTTCTTGGTGCCTGAACCCTAAACCCTACACCCTAAACCCTAACCCTAAGCCCTAAACCCTAAACCCCTTACGCCCCTGAAGCCCCTAAAGCCCCTAAGGACCCTCAACCTCGAAGCCCCTGAAAGCGAAACCCGAATATCCCCCCATGAACTCCTAAACCCTACACTGGACCCTACACCCTGAACGAAACCCTAAACCCTAAACCCTACCCACTCTCCATATCCACACCTTCAATTGACCAGCGTTCTTGGCGGCGGAGGCCGTCTCTTGCATCATGGCTTTGCCCAGGGGAGAGGCCGCTGAAAGCCAAAATCGAAGCTTGCGCGGGCGGGCTTGGGAAAACGGAATTTACGGGCTTCAAGGAGTTTCGGGTTTAGGGTTAAGGCTTAGGGGTTTAGGGGTTTAGGGGTTTAGGGGTTTAGGGGTTTAGGGGTTTAGGGGTTTAGGGGTTTAGGGGTTTATGCAAGATGTCATCGGACGTCCCATGCGAGAAGAACGCAAGAGATCCTTAGCGAAGAAGTGAATTGATAGGTTTAGGGGTTTAGGGGTTTAGGGGTTTAGGGGTTTAGGGGTTTAGGGGTTTAGGGGTTTAGGGGGGGTCGGGTTCGGGGAACAAACCCACCCCAATCTTGCCTTTGGGTTCTCATCCGAATACAGACCCTTATGCAGGGGTTTACGAAAATTGGGGGTACCTTATTGGGGTCCTTTTCATAAGAGGTCCCTACTCCTTGGGGGTTCATAGTCAGGGTCCCTTATTATCGTAAACCTCATATGAATGTTAGCCCCAAACGGGACCATAACAAGCTACTGGCTGCCCGACCCAGCCCTCTTTTTCATGTTTTAGGGTTTAGGGCTTAGGGTTTAGGGCTTAGGGCGTAGGGTTTCGGGCTTAGGGCTTGGGGTTTAGGGTTTAGGGCTTAGGGCTTAGGGTTTAGGGCTTAGGGCGTAGGGTTTCGGGCTTAGGGCTTAGGGTTTAGGGTTTAGGGCTTAGGGCTTAGGGGCTTGAACCCCAACCGCCGCTACGGTGCCGGGCGATCTGTAGGCCCAGAAGACCATTTGGGGGCTCTGAAACTAGGGGCCTAGGGCTCCGGTGCTCCCGTACTGCTTGGAGGCAGCTTCGGCCCCGAGGGTTTAGGGTTTAGGGTTTAGGGTTTAGGGTTTAGGGTTTAGGGTTTAGGGTTTAGGGTTTAGGGTTTAGGGTTTAGGGTTTAGGGTTTAGGGTTTAGGGTTTAGGGTTTAGGGTTTAGGGTTTAGGGTTTAGGGCGTCTCGCCGCGCAGCGGCAGTAAGTACCATGTGTAAATGGCGCCCCTACACACCCAGGGGGTGTGGGGGGGCGGCATGTCACGCGAAGGCATCTGTTTTCAATGTAATCCAACAATTTCATTGGTGCTGGGTTCTTTCTCCCCACCCGCTGTGAG